CCGACAATTACGGTAATTGGCATCCATCATTGAGCTGTTTTATTTTGTATTGTGCTTATTTTATCTACTGTTATCTATGTTGTTTTCAATGACTTGAATACTTGATCTTAAGTTTTATTACGTTTGCTCTTGTTCTCTACTCCTCTGTAAGCACTTTGAACTCTGCCAGCCGGCATGAAGGTGCTATACAAATAACAGGCTAGAGGGGAGTAAACATGATGGGGATGGTTCCCAATAGATGTGAGAATTTCTATTTTCTATTATAGCAATTTTTAAAAAAAAGCAAATAATTAGTCGATTGAAAGAATTACATCTACATTTATGAGCACATTCAGGAGGAAAATTAATAACGAGGCCTCCAGTCAAGAAGGAATTGATGGGAAATATCTGTGTAGTCTGCATTCGTCTGTGTCCAATCAGCCAAAAGCTGCTGCTGCGGTCGTTTCTCTGCAGCCGTTATCTCGACGCTGACAGAGTGAATAAATGCAGCGCTGTGTCAACTCTGTGCCGGTTTCACATTAATTGGATGGCTACAGCGGTATGCCTGCCGAGGCCACATCAGCACGAGGCCAGCCTCGCTGCGAGGCCTCTCGAGTCATATGACAATGGGGTGATCTCCCTCAGACCCCTCGCTAACTGCCCTCCCATGTGCTCTTTCTCTCTCCCCCGCCTCCTCTGCATCAGACTCTGGAAGAAGGCGGAGACAGCCTGTCCGAGTCAGCCAATCACATGCTGCCCCCACCAACTGCCAGTCTGGGAAACCTCTCGTCATTGGACATCACCAACGATGAGGACCTGCCCACAGACCCCAGCAACTCGTCTGACACACAGGAAGAGAGTGAGTGTCGTTTGGGCAAAGAGACCACAAGAAAAGAGATTTAATTTGAATCTGTCGGCATAAATTTCATCTAAAAACTAATTCTGATAACATCTTAGAGCTTCAATAAGACTCAGAGGTACCTTTATGTAGGTAATAAATGATATTAAAGTGGTTTCCTGCCCTCCTGATCTCAGAACAATAACTCTTTGCTTGGCTGCACGTCAGCAGTGAATGCAGGTTTTGTAAACATGAACATGCTGTACTTTGTCTCACTTCAGTTAAATCTGACCTGAACCAAACTGAAACGCTTCCCCGATCAGCTGACGCATCT